TAGGATCTATGTCTAGGTACTTTTTTTCCTCATGTGTATATGTACGTCAATAGAGCAGTATTGTTGGTTTGTTGAGAAACTATTTTTGTAGAGCAAAACAGAAATATCTTAAAACCTAACTGAGGAATATACAAACAATAGCAAAAGACAGACAGACAGACAGACAGACAGACAGATAGATGAGAGAGAGGAAATTAAAATAGAAAATATGAAACAAAGTAATATTTTTAGAGTGAATATCTGGCACAGCTGCATTAGTTTGAAAGAGGAAACCTCATACTCCCTGGCTGTAGTAGGTTCCATCTTGGTGCTGCACGGAGGAAGGGCAAGTGGCAGCTGTTAGGTCTCTGTAGCCTCAGTATTCCTTGGGCTTCTCCTGAGGAGGGATGTTGTTAGTCCTTTTCTGGTGGTCCCACAGACACCCCCTCTCTACTTTGACCTCTGCTGAGCCTTTAGGTCCTGTTTGTGTGAGTAGGGGCACATTGCTCTCTCCTGTGCAGCTAGTTGTCGCCCACATTGTACCTGCTTTAGAAGATTTTAAGCCAGCACTCCTTCCTGCTTCCCTGTGGAGATCTCCCTCTGTTTAATAAGGTCATTTATAGACCTTGTCTCTTGTAAAGAAAGAGCTTGCTATATATCACTTTGACTGTTTTCTTTCACCGAGTTTAATGGTATGACTTCTAATAAACCATCTTACCTGGAAGTCCTGACATTAATATTTTAGTGAAAATTTTATTATTATATGATAAAATTCAATGTGGCTGTTGCAGTAAATTACCGGACCATCCTCTGAGAAGACCATGATGCTGAGAAGGACAAGGGGATGAACCCCTCTGGAGACAGTTTCAGGGAACAGAGTCTGCTTTATTGCATGTGAACAAATACTTATATAGAGGAAGCCTATCAACTGTGATTGGTTAGCACATTCCCTGGGATTGGACAGTGAGCACTCATACCACCAGGGTCTCTATTCAAAAGAAGCATGTTGAAGGAAACATGGAAAGTACAGACACACCAGCAGGCCAGCTACACACTTACTGACACTACTTCTGGGAACACTCAGGAGCATGGTGTGTTATGATTGTTACTTAGAAGCACAGTGGGCCACATCATGCCTACATTTTCTCCTACCAACATATATAAGCTATGTGATTCCTTATGCATTACTCTATTCATTAAATATTTGTTGAGTGAATTAATGTAATTTCTCATAAAAATTATTGTGTACAATAAGGATCTTATTTTGAATTTGCTCTCATAACAATCCTCTATTTTATTGATACCCACCACAGATCATTTTTTAAATCCCTGGATTAAAGGAGAAGTGAGATAAATCCACCCCTTCCACCCCCAAAAAAACTTATTTGGAAAAATTAGAAGAATCTTTGTTTAAAATACAAAGCAATAAAAGCTTGCAGAAAATTAAATATGTTTCTTTCCTCTTTCTCCTCACCAGTCTCCAGCCACAGGGATAGTGTTTCTAATGGAAGCTCTTGTCAGACAAAATGAAAGGAGAGAGTCTCAGTTCTTACAAACCATCTTTGGAATATGAAAGCTTTCAATATTACAGGGAAGTCAATGGATGAAAATGAACAGTTTATTTTTCAACGCAAGGAAACACAAGATAACACAAAGTACTATGTGTGCTTATTTTCAGTTTGAAAAATGAATAAAATTAAAAAGACAGGACAGAGAAAGTAGTAAATGTTACAAAGATCAAGAATCCAAAATGTTACAAAATATCCAGAGACTATTTATTACCCATACAGAGGGTTAGGGTGGAAAAGAGATGATTTGTGGTCATTAGGACAAGTCTTAAAAAAAACTTAGTGAATGAGTTAGAGAATGTGAAATTTTTTGACCACAGAAAACAGTGGGAAAGCCTCATAGGAAAAAGAAAGAATAAAACAAAGTTGTGTTCTGCCTAGACTCCTATAATCTACTTCCCTGTTATATTTCAAAGGGAATAGCCTGTGGCAGAATAATCCAGGTTCTATGTTATTAAGTATTTATAAAGTTAATAGTAAAATCCCATGCCGAGAAACACTTTTGTGAGATGCTATATAAAGGGTTTGTAATTGACTGGGTAGAGAACAATCTCAAAGACCTACACAGCTTTGTTTCAAAGCAATATGTGTTAAAAAGACTTTTTAAAAATTTGCATAGCATTGGCTTTTTCAAACAACTCACAGTGGAAGTCCATTACTCAGTCCTCAAAATATCTTGAGATGAGTGGATACAGAAGGGAATGCTCATGATTTACACAGAGAGATTTCATGCTCATGGCAAGCAAGAGAAACATAAGGCTAGTGTCTGGAATAGAATCTGCTCTTACAACCTTGGGGCATTTATGGGTAAAAGGCTTGAGATCCAGATAATATTTGTTCTGTTAGTCTTGAAAAATATTCCAACTTTAACCATATATTATTCGCCTTGTTAACTCTCTAAAATAGTGTCATAGATGAAATGACACAGGAGTTCATATTGCTGGGTCAAGGAGCAAAGTTTGAGTCATTAAATTAAAATAGAGAACTACTAGCCCAGCATTGGCAGTCTGTCCTCTAAGCATAGCATGTCATATTGTTCTGTTACTTCATATGCATAGCACTAAGTTGCTTACCCACCTAGTGAAAGGAACTGTTCCACCTTAGAAGGCTAATTGACCCAAGGAGAGACAAAAAATGCAATCTTCTTTCTACTTCTTAATTTCTTGATTTAACCCCATTAAAAAGAAGCCCTTGCAATGATCTCTGCTCCTGTGATACTTTCAACCCAAGGAATCCTATATCCTTATTGTCTTAATTCCTGTTCCCATTGCTGTGATAAAATAGTCCTCAAGGAATGGAACCTAAGGGAAGAAGGATTTATTTGGCTGACAATTCCAGGTTACAGTCCATCATGGCAGGGAAGTTGTAGCAGCGATGCCTAAAGAATACTGGTCACATTACATCCACAGTCAAGAGAGCAATGAGTTAATGCATTCATGCTAAGGCTCAGTTAAGTCACTCTTCTTCATTCACTCTTGCACTCAGGCCTTGAATTGGTTCTACCACATCCAGAATGATTCTTCCTAGATCAATTTACCTAATTAAGAAAATTCCATCTTGATCCCTAATTAAGAAATCCATCATCCAGGTAACTAACAATGACCATCAAACTCATAATATAAAATTCAGCAAAACAATTTATCTCTGTGTTTTAATGCTTCTGCCACACACAGAACATCTATTCAATATGTAGCTACTGTCATAAACAACAGTATAAATTCCTTGTTTGCATAAATGTATTCATCTACTGAAAATTCACATGGCTCTGAAAATTGGGTGCTTACATTTTCTTTTCTTTCTCTTTTCTAGGATTGTTTTACTGCTGTGAGATAAGTCTTCTGTATGCTGTTATTGTTTTATTCCCATTGGTTAATAAAGAAACTGGTTTGGTCTATAGCAAAGCAGAATAATGCCAGGTGGGAAAGTCAAACTGAAAATACAGGGAAGAATAGAGGAGTCAGAGAGATGCCAGCCAGATGCTGGAGGAGCAAGATGTATTAGAGCACAGGTAAAGCCATGAGACACGTGGCCGAACAGATTAATAGAAATGATTTAATTTAAATGTAAGGGCTAGTTAGTAACAAACCTGAACTATAGGCCAAGCAGTTTGTAATTAATATTAAGCCTTTGAGTAATTATTTAGAAGCAACTGCAGGATGGAGTGGGACAGAGAAACCTCTGTTTACAGTTTACCCATCTTTCGGCAGTTTCCCTCACTTGGCACGTCTTCCTTTCTCCATCACTCATTAGTGGGCTTTTAAACTCTCTCCTGAGATTTCAGACTCATTATTAGGACTTTGATGTCTTTTTCTTTCAACAGTGCTCAATGAGTTTTTATTTAAATCTCCCCATGTCTGCTGCTTGCAGTTCCTTCCTTGTGACTTTTCCAGTTAATTTCAGATAGCTCAGTCTGACTCTTGTCCTACAATGCAGCCCAGGATGAGGACACATTTCAGCCTTACATGATTCTCTTGGACAGTTACCATGCTTCCTGGTGTTGGTCTTAGTGATGATAAACATTTAAAAAGGTTCCATTTTTTTTTTTGATATTGTGAATAGTGCTGCAATGAACATGTATGTACAAACATCATTGCAGTGTGCTAACTTAAAGTCCTTTGAATATGTACTTTAGAGTAGTGTGGCTCAGGGCACAATTCTACATGTCCCTGAAGTGTTAGTAAGAGCAGCTTGTCTTTAAATACTACTAATAATTTGTCTGATACCTAGGCTCAGCTTCTCCTTGCCATAGTTGTCTTGCAAAATGTGTTTCAAATGTAATCCCTGACAGTTGGCTATCTTCATTGGTGATGCTGAACTCTCATGGTATCTTGTTAAAGGAAACTGCAGTCTGTCTTACAGTTGTGCTTTCATGCCTGGGCAGAATTCATAGAGCATTAACCACGCCTGGCTAATGCAATCAGCACAAAGTTTTTCCATCTTGGTTTTCTACTTTCTCCTGAGGCACTCATTTTCCAAACCAAATTCAATTTCTCTGCTGCTCTGAAGCTCATGTCAAACTCCTTATTTCCAGGGATTTGGACTACTGTAAATATATCCCTGGGGTTCTTTCCAATTGGATTAATAATTAGGGTCCCACTGGCACATACGTGTCCCTAGGCTGGTTTCTGTATTGAGAGCAGAAGCTCATAACTTACCTTGATGGAAGGAAGTCTTCCATTCTCCAATCACACATGTAAAGTCTGTCTTCCTCCCGTCTTCCCTCCCTCCCTCTCTCTTACCCTCTCTTCCCCCTCCCCTCTCTCTTTCCTTCTATCCCTCCCTCCTAGCCCCTCTGTCTCCTCCCATCCTCCACCCTAGTAAAGACAAAACAGGAGAAATGACAATAAATTCTGGATTTCTCTCTGTAGTGCATCCAGGAAGCTCACTTAGTTCTCTCATTCTCCCTGAGGATTTCTACCTGGCTGCCTTCACTGGTAATGAGTGTTCACTCACCCTCTGCCAAAGGCAGTCAGTGGGTTTCCAGGGCTTGCTCTCATCTCTCCAGGAGCATTGTTTTCTCCCATAGGCACAATTCTCTGTCTCTAGGACATTGAGGAATTTGTCAAATTGAATTTCCTGAGCTTCTTTCCGTCTGAGTATCCTTTCTTCTATTTCAATCACAAGCATGGCCACAGCACTTTTTTTAAGGGAAACAATTTTAGAAGCATTCACTGCCTCAATATCTTCTTCCAGAATAAGTAGATCATGCTTCCAACTTCTTGAAATCTGTTACTTGATTCTGCGCCAAGACTCGGAGACAGCAAGAACAAAAGCCTGCTTCAGGTTCTCATGCTCACTTTCTTATCCTACTTCTACATCCTTTGAAGAAAGCCATTTTTTGCTTCTTACAAGCAAGCATCTTCTTGTCAAGACCTATCCATTAAGATAGAAAAACAAAGAACACATTACAAATAATAATCATGCCCACAATATAATACCTGCTGTTTATTTTGTACATATTGTGTGCTAGGCACAGTCCAACCACTTTACATTCTTACAGCTGGTTTGATAGAGGAATGACTTAATACAATCATCAACATAGAGCTGATTTGACAAGGTAGCTATTATTTAACTTTTAAGGGACCTTAACTGACTTCTGAATCCAGTTCTGTCTTCCTCTCTAGACTCCTGTTCTCAATAATGAGTGGATACACAAACCTCATTTTGTGTAGTAGATGGCACATAAATGTCACAATTCAAGAGTCCTGAGCCCTTAAGATATGTTAGTTTGAGATGGGAGAAGCTTCAACAAAGCAATGTCAAACAGCATCACATAAAACTTGGTATACACTGGCAATGGCAGTGGTTGGATGAGCAGCTTGAACACCAAGGGGACCTTGTTACACAAGCAAAGTCCCTTGGTCCGCACCAAGGAGACTCTACCAGACAATCTGTATTTTCACTTATGTTCAAAAAGGAATGCAGGACCTCAAGGTGAGACAGTACATCCCTTATCTACTATCACCATAATGTAGTTCCCTGGAAACAGAGCTAGGTGCCTGCTACATCAGTCATCTAGAAATGAGGATGAGTGCAAAAAGCAAACTGGCTTGAGACTCTGAGATTCAGCCCCACTTATCATTGAAAACATAAGAAGCAAATAATTATTTCTCTTCCTAAAGCATATCATCACTCCTACTTTGATTCTTTCCAAACAAAATTAATGATTTCCCATGTGATTTTTATTTAATTTTTGTTTCATTATGCTGTTACAAACAGGCAATTTGGAGTTATTTGTCTTTAACAGGTTGACTCATTGAATGATTGAATGAAGAAATCTCTTCATTACCAGGCTTACTTCTTTCTTTCTTTTTTGTTTGTTTTTTGAGACAAGGTTTCCCAGTAGCTATGGCTCCAGTCCTATAACTCATTCTATAGACCAGCTGGCCTCAAACTCACAGAGATCCACCTGCCTCTGCCTCCGGAGTGTTTGGATTAAAGGCATGCACCATCACTGCCCAGCACCCATGCTTATTTCTAGAAGAGTGTCTAAAGCTTTGCTTGTTGAAGGAAGACAATCTGGTCCTGTCAGCCATTGCATAAAAATCTTAACTAAGCCAGGCCCAGTGGTACAATCTGTAGTCTCAGCCAAGGCAGGAGGATTACTAAAAATCCCAGCTCAGACAAGGCTACTCAGGGGAAACCTGTCTCAAAACAAACAACCTAAACTGAGCACTGGAAGCATTGTTAAAATTAATCTAATATTCGTCTGTGCAAAGTTTAAGGTTGGTTTTGGGAGACACCGTTGACAGCTTGTCTAGAGAGCTGTTAGTGAGTGGCTCTTCTGAACTGCTCTCTTCTCCCCATCCCAACCTTGAACTGTAGTTTCTGTCTCCTCTGTTTCTCCCCCTGCTGTGATTCCTAATGAAATAAATTTCAGGAAGCCTACTGATTGACTCCATGACAAGGGTGTAATTGACAGGAGCAGCTGGGCCCTCTTGACACATGACAACCCTCTCATTCTTTCAGATGGCTTCTTTTTAATTCCCACCTTAGCCCTTTCTCATTTCTCCTTTGTTGGAGGACATCTCTGAGAACTCCCTAGATTTCTTGCTTCCAGTATTTTCCTATTAGTCTTATTTAGAAGGAGCATTTTCCTCAATTCATAAGATATTCTGCAGAAATCATCCTGATTCATTCCTTAGTCTTAGGAGTTTCTATGGGGTCTCTTTGGCTGCTTGTCAGGGTCTCATCACTCTTACCTAAAAACTCAGAACAGTTGTGGCATCCATTGATGTCTCTCTTCTCATACCGACACAAATGTACCTGTAGCGTTTGTGGTGTGGGGTTTGCCGACTTTAAAATTAGAAAGCTTATTTTAATCAGATTTTTTTTTGTTTTCTTTCTTGCTGACATACACTGGAGTTATTTTCAATGATCTTTTCAATCCTTATTTTAAATAAGAAAAATTAGATTTTTCTAAAGATGGTAATGAGAATCTGAGTGCAAGAAGTTTGTATTTGTGAGTTTGAGTGCAAAGGCATCTGAGTTCAATAATTATCATTTTCAGTTTGTATATTTTTTGCAAAAGCTATATAAAGACATAGTATAGTGAGTACATTTGAGAAGCTTCTAAGAGTTTCACTGCCTTTGAGGACTAACTTAATATTTTCTGTCTTGAGAGGTGTCTGGGAATTGCTGGATATATATATATATATATATATATATATATATATATATATATAGATATATATATATATACATCATCTTTACTGGTCACTAAGAGTTAAGCTTTCCTAGAAGTGACCCTCTTTTCTGCTCCATCACTAGCTTGCACTCTAAAGGATGTGACCCAAGTTGAATGCCAGTTTCTAGTGTTCAGGGGTGGATTCCCTAACCTTTCTGATCAATAATTTTTATCATTTGTATTATTTACCACAGCAACATTACTGCCAGTTGTAAAAATGGGCTATTCTAGGGTAGAGAAGCAGAAAAGGCTTTTATTTTTGGCTCTTTCCTTTTTAACTTTAAAATTATTATATTAATATGTGGATGGATGTTTGAAATACATGTATGTCTGTGAATCCTATGTGTGCCTGGTGCCCACTGAAGCTGGAAGAAGGCTTTGGTTCCCCTGGAGCTGGGGTTACCGATGGTGGTGAGCCATTATGTGAGTGATAGATATTGATCTCAAGTGCTCTGGAAGAGCAGCCAATGGTCTTAACCATTGAGCCATCTCCCCAGCCCATAGACATTTTTTTTAAGTGTGCCTAATGCTGACTATATAACCTAAGTCTATGGGAATATAGTGAAGTCCCAGGTGAATGTGTACTGTTGCTATGAGCATGGCCATGCCTGGGACCTCAATGCCCCAGCTCCACGGCAGTGGCAAAGTCTTCCCAATGTGAGGCTCAGAGGGATGGCACAGCCTTCCTCCAGATCCAGTGCAAATGTTGAGGGTATGTGCAGAAATTTCCACCATAGCTTTTCTCCCTGAGGATATTTATGGCCTAAAGACTAATCATACTGAGATTAGCTAAACCTGCCTCCTGCCTGGTGTTCACCTGGGTGATGTTACCCTGCCTCCCTTTACTATGGTTACCTAACAAACATGATAAGCTTCTGGTATGCTGTGATTTCTCCATCTGAGAACTCAGACCACCTGATTGATCTCAGCTTTTCTGTATGTCTGTATATGTGTCTGTCATTTCTTCATTTCTTTGTTGCCCCAAGTCAGGCTTCTGGAAGCCATTCATATGATGAATTTTGCTTCTCTGTTACATTGTATCGTGATAAGCTTTGTGTTTTCTTGGCATTTTCAACTAAATTTAAGTTTCTTACTAGCCACATATCTCTAAGATAATGTAGCTTTCCTTGCCCATCCTATGGGTTGTGGTGAACACATTTATAACATTTAACAGGTTATTAGCAAGAAAATAATAATTTTCTGTAACCAAAGCATATGTGGCATGGGAACCTGAAAGGACAAAGGCATAAACCCACAAGGAAAGCTGTCTGCTTTCATTCTTAGGTTTGGTAAAAGTACCAGCAAATAGAAGGGAAGTCTTGCCCTGCCTTTTAGATTCTTCTTGGGACTTCTGGGTAGCATCTCTTCCTTGGAGAAAGCGTCAGTGACCATGTTAGGTCTCACAGGCTGAGGAGCAAAGAACCCAGAGCATGAGACAGCCTGGATCCTGAGCCTCACCTCAAGAGACAATGTTGGGGTTTACAGACAGGAGAAGAGGAGGCCAGAGAGATCTTGCTGAGGTGGCCACTCAGGGTCCTTTAATTCAGACTGTTTGGCATGTCAAAGAGCAAAAACTTGGAAGTACCTGCACCCCAACACAAGGTAACTCCAATTCACTACCAATTAGCATCCAAGGGCTTGCAGCAAATGCTGGAGGCAATACGGGACATATGTTTCTCTTATACTTTTAAGCATATGTCATTGTATTTAAATGTGAATATGGACATTGTCTTAGGTGGTCTTTTAATTTTACTTCATTGAATCTAGTTACACAAAATTACTAACAGATAATTGTAGCTTATTTCTATAAAGTACAATCTTATTTTAATGTATATTAAACATAGTATAAATACATAGCTAAATATGATAATTGTAAAAGTAGTAAATGTAAATAATCATTTTTTAAACCAAATTTCAAATGTCTCTGATACAGAATGGTTCCCTAAATTTCTAGAAGGTTTTCTGAAAGTACTTAGTGCTATTTGGACCAAAGGTAGATTTCAAAACACTCACATGATGAGGTAATGCATTTGCAACAGACTTCTGAGGAAGGTTATACATTGCTTAGATGGCAAATAAAAAATGCAAAGGAGTGAGGAGTCAAGACCTCCTGAGTACCCTTGAAGTGCTTAGTGGTTTTTCTTGCTTCCTTTTCCTTCATAGTAGATCATGCAGCCCTGCTAGTAACCTGTCAATCAAACAATATAAGAATATCTCTTAAGGCTTAGACTATGAAATCATATGATGTGAAGACTGGAAAGTAACAGAAAAGATAACATAGCCGTTTCAGAACTGTATCATCTTTTTACTCTGGCTTGTTCTAGTTCTATCATCACTATGCTTTGAGTTCAACCACAACTCACAGCCCCTGTGTCTTCATCCAGTCCATATAGACACAACTTTCTGAAGGATCTGCTGGGTGGTGTGGAGTAATTTTCTTTCCAGTATCTAAGCAAGGAGCTCATGATTTTCCTCTAAGGTTTTTAGTTTGTTTCCCTCCTACATTTTTTTTTGGTGTGTGTGTGTGTGTACTAGAACACATGCTTATGTGTCATAACCCATGTGAGTGTGGAGTATGAGTGTGGAGGTCAGAGGACAACTTCAACTTCTTTCCTTCTACCATGTGAGTGGTAGATCACACTCAAGTCCTTAGGCTTAATGGTAAGTGAATAATTCCTTTACAGGCTCAACCATTTCACTAAACAATACTCAGTATTTTTAAGGGAACAAAGTAATTTAATATATGGGACTAGAAAGAAATAGTTATAGTATATAGTTGAAGACATTTCATTCTTATATTTTTTCTATTAGAGAAATATATTTGTTAATGTAGCACACAAAATACATTAATCGGTAAATTGTCATAGAGTCCGTGGTGCCATTCTTGAGAGAGTCTGTTTAATTATGTCTTCAAGTAGGAAATAATCTATTTATTTTACAACTAAATGTAAACACATTTTTGGAATATATTGTCTACATTTTTATGCATTTGGAGGCCTAAACTACGATCTGAAATAAATATACTAATTACATTGTTCTCTGTGTTTTTAAGATATCCACTAGGAACTTTCAGAACTAGGATTGGTAACAAGGCCAAACCATTCATTAATCACTTCCCAAATGAAAAATCTTTCTCTATAAAGCTGTGTTTAATACTCAGTTTGATTTTTGAAATGCTTTTTACTGAAGTCTCTGATATTTAATTAAATGTGAATGGAGGTTTAAGGGCACTTGTCTTTTCCAGCAAGTGTTAGCCAGCAAGTTGTACTGATGATGTGTGTAGCATTAACTAACATCAGTTGAACCAGGCTCTTAGGGACAATCTCATAATAATGTTACCAGTTGAGGTTAACAACAAGAAAACAACAATAAAAACAAATAGACACGAAGGGCAGAATGCGACTCGCCCATGCCGCTCACCACCCTCTTTCAAAGCTGGCACCCTCTGAAATCAGCAGGTTCCTACACGCGCTGTGCAAAGCAAGGCGCTGTGCAGGGCCAGGGCGTGCCCACCTGCAAACTGCTGGCTGTCTGGAGCCTGCAAACACCTTGCGAGTTCCGAGAGGCTCTGGATAAGTCTGCCCGGGCCACTCGGCTCAAACCTTTAGGCAGAAGGCTGTCAGCGTCCAGAAGCTTTTCAGTGTGTCAGCAACTTCAGTTAGCAGAGCTAGCTGGTGGAGGGCTGAGGAAACCCCTCTGACCAATCGCTCGCCAGTAGCCATCGCTGCCCTAGCATACCTTTTGTTCTGATCACTGATTCGAGTGTCGGCCGCCGTGCCAGGCGTGCAGAGGCACCGAGATCCCTGCCTTGAGAGGCCACCTCCCGCGCTCAGTGCCCAGCCCTGAGCCCGCCGCCCCGAGCCTGCACAGCTGAGACACGCCCCTCTCCTCCCCGCGGAGCAGGGACTCGCCCGGGCTCCCAGGCTCCGCCCACCCCGCTGGGAGCCTAGCTCTCTTTCCTGCCCCCCTGCACTCGAGACCCAGAAGAGCCTCGGGAAGGGCTGCAGCCTTCATGGAAGGCGATCCGGGTGCAGGCTAGCAGCGCCAGGGTCCGCGGCCACGCGCTCTCCAAAGGACCCCCGAGGCTGAGCGCGGCCGGAGAAACGGCGCGGTGGCCCCGGGGAAGGTCCGGGCTTGCAAGGTAGGGAGCGGGCAGATGGCCAGGCAAAGTTGATCCATGAGGGGAGGTGGCTGGCCTGAGCCCTCTCGCCACCGGGA